CCATCTCTCTCTCTCTCTCTCTCTCTCTCTCTCTCTCTCTCTCTCTCTCTCTCTCTCTCTCTCCCACTCATTCTCACCGCTCTAATACACACATACTTAGTAAAGTTTATTTATTTTAAACAATAATACATAACATGCTTCATAAGAAATGTTCATTGTGGTTAATATGGTCTTATTTTCAGAAATAAATAAGAAAAGGGCGATATTTAGGGTTTGAATAATGTGTTTCTCATTGCACCTTCCTTTGCAGAACTACAAACCGTATTTATTACGTTTACTTCGTGTTCCACTTCAATTTTAGGGGAAGACATATCGAGAAAAAACAAACAAACATATCTTTTAGCTTTAAGTAGGGGATGTTTGAGATTTTAGTATTCCTGAATTATGTTGTCTTATTATTCATATAACTTTGCAGACATAGATCTGTATCTAATTCCCATTCCATAGATCTACTCTTCGAGAAAGCGTTATTATTCTGACATTCACAGGACGCTTAGTAATAACGTGGTATTCAGAAGCAGGAATTAAATAAAACATTATTTTGTGCACCCTAGATGGCCTTCACAACACGGGACGAGTTTGTAGAACATGTAACAACAATCATAGAACATTGAGATGACCATCAGTAGACATAAAAGCATGCAGAAGTGTGACTGCTAACTTATTACCTCAAATTTACGGGCAAATACTCGTATATGAAGTGGCGAAAAGCGAGGAAAAAAATCAGTGCTTCACACGTTAAGCGAGATATGGACAAATTAGACTCTGTCTGACAAGGATTGAGGGTCACGTAATTTCTGGCGTCAGAGAGATTTGTCCCACCGAGCTTTCTGTTCACGTCTTGATAACGGAAAGACCGAGCGGGTTCTTTTCTATCTCCCACCATGGGGGCTATCTCTTTCACGGCGGCTCTGCTAGGTAGATAATAAAATTGTGATTGAAAACCGAAGAGCCCGGGAAGAACACTATCGCTCCTACTCCCAGCGGTGTGTGGGGCAATGATTGGCCTGTACAGATAAAACCAGCAGGACTGGACAGGGAGGCCGGTCCCAATATTCTGTCTGTGCTTGCCGTTTTCTCGACTCCTTGCAATGTCTCCGCTTTTCACGCTTGAGACCAAAAATGCATTTTTGTTGTTGCGAAAGTGTCCTGCATTTTGATTCAAGCTTCGGGGATACGTTCGCAACTTTAACTAAATGAAGAGCAGTTCACAGACAGAGAACTGTAGAAAAAAAGAGAGCGTGAGTCAGAGAGAGAGAGAGAGAGAGAGAGAGAGAGAGAGAGAGAGAGAGAGCTCGTAACTCATAATGCTATTCACATCTTTTTATAAAGAGTACGGCTTTTGCGACACCACATAACTTCTCAGCATTGTATTTTGAAAAGAGGAGCGCTCGAAGTTAGGGGGCAGAGACTTCCATGCCTTTCATAGCCGCATTGTGTCTTCTAAAGGTTAATGATAATGACAATCTTTTATTACGTATTTTAAAAGCATTCTAACGAGTAGGTTAACAGCATACTACATAAATCTAACCTTTGAGATTCCCATTATGAGCTGCTCGTTCAGCATACGTCTCATTTTCTGAGCCTCCAGCTATATATGAATTATTTAATTCTGTCTAAAATTGTCTAAGAACACTATTTGGGCTCAAAGTAACTTTCTCTTTATTTTCTTGCGGCCTGAACAAGTGGCTTTGTAAACAATTGCATTGTGCTATAGATCATTGTATTGAGACCAAGGAGTATGCATGGTTAACGCTGCTCCTAACTCGGGTTTGAATTTCAAAGATCGAGATCTGAAGACTTCATTGTAAATAATATACACTCCAAAACAAGTCGAAGCGCTTTTTTTAGATATAAGAGCTGGATAAACTTCTATGTTTAGCATAAAAACTGCTGTGAGAATACATGGGCCCTTTTAAACTGCCTTATTTACTTCTGTCAGTTCTTTTTAAGCGTTAAAATTGGAACAAACACGGAAGGCTATGTATTTCTGTTTGTGTCCACAATGAAGTAAAAACTTCATTGAGTGTGCGTATGTACGGGTGTGGTGTTCAATCGTAAACACACACACGCACACACAGACACACACACACACAAACACGCACATACACACACACACACACACACACACAAAGTACACACATACACACACATAGACAGATAGTGAAAAGAGGTAGGAGAAGTAGGAGATGGAGGGGAAAAGGAGGAAGACGAGGCGAGAAGAAGAAGAAGAAGAAGAAGAAGAAGAAGAAGAAGAAGAAGAAGAAGAAGAGGTGAGGAGTAGGAGTAGGAGGAGGAGAAGGAGAATGAGACCTGTATCAGTTGCCTCCCCTCGTACGAGAGATTCACTTCTTCAGAAATAAATAATCGATGATTGCTTACTTGCTTTCTTTGTGATTTCATTGATTAAAAATAGCCCAGAGTAAGAGTGCACGGGTGAAAGAGTGAATGAATTCGTTGCAATTCATTTGGTTATTGACTTGTTCCTCATTTCCTTTGCTTTTGATTCGTGCAAATCAAACTGGCTGTCATTTTGTTGTTGTTGTTGTTGTTGTTGCTGCTGTTGTTGTTGTTGTTGTTGTTGTTGGTTT